AGGAGGTTTACTGCAAAACAAAGAAAGAACCCCAAACCAAAAAAAAAGCAAACCCTACACACATATTTTTACTAACCTTTAATTGAAATTTATCATTTCATTCAATTTTTATTTTTTTTCTAAAACATTATTCTGAGAAGCAGTCCACGACACAAAAAACATTAAGAACTCCTGCACTAGATACATTCCCTCCTCTGCTGGCTTTGTAGGCACCATGATTTTCTGGTTCACCCACCTCTCCAATCATTCTTCCTGTTTCATTTCTGGTTTGTCATTCTCATCCTGCCCCCTTAATTTGGATGTTCCTCACAGGTCTGTCATAGGCCTTCTCTTTCTATACTTTCTGACTTGGCAATTTCATTCTTTCTTATGACTTTAATTATCACCCTTATGCTGATCATTCCCAAATCTAATATCTCCAGTCCTGCATTCTCCTCTGAACTTCAAATTGGCATTTCTAGCTGCCTACAACTCTTCTTCAACCTAAATGTTTCACATTAAAAATCAAACTCATTATTTTTCCCAGTAAACTAGCTCTACCTTCTGACCTCACTAGTTTTGTTTGTTTTGTTTATGACACCCACTACTCAGCCCATCTTCTAAAATTCACAAACTTAAAATTATTTTGATTTTTCCCTCTTCCTCATCTTTCACATGCAGCCAAGCTCTCAAAGATTCTATCTTTGTAACATCTCTTAAATCTGAACCCTCCTCTCCATTCCTGTAGCTGACACACTAATACAACCAAACTTAACTATATAGCATTCTATTTCCTCCTTTTACCACATCTTTTATGCCTAGAATGCTCTCCCTCCTCATTTCTATTTCTTAGAATACATAATTTCCTTTTAATTACTAACTTCTACAAGGAGTCTTTCCTGATTCCCTTAATACCTGGTACCCATTACTTTGAATTTATTTTGTGTTTACTTAACTGAGTACACGTTGTTTATATCCAAAATAGAACATAAACTCTTTGAGGGCAGGGATTGTTCCCTTTGTATCCCCAGAGCCTAATAAACTGAGGCTATCACATAAATAGGCTCTTAATAAATGACTTGTTGAATTGAATTGGCTGGCATTCCATAATTTGGCATCACTCTACCTTCCCAATCTCATATTCCTCACCCTCTACTCATTCTGTACTCCAGCCAAAGTAGATAAATCTTTGCCCCTGGACATATGCTTTTGTACCTTTTTCAGGTTGTCTTTATACCTAGAGTGCCCTCTCTCCCTCCCTACTGATGTTTTGTCTATTAATTCTTATTAATCTTTTAAGGTAAGACTCAAATGCTACCTTCTTCACTGAACCTTCCCCTGAACGTTCCCATTGTTGAAACACAATGAGACCTTCCCCCTATTATGGATGAAAGAAATAATGGATGAGGAAACAAAGGTTGGAGCTCCCAAGCACATTGATTTATTAAGCAATGCATGCCAATTGCTTAACAAATCAGGACCAGGCCCCTTCCTCAGCTTAGGGCTGAACCCCAAATACAGAGGGAGACAGACTTTAATACATTAAAAACAATTAATCAGATAAGACCAATTAATTAAAAGGAAACAACCAGGAAACAATATCAGGTGGATATACAATTGTGAGAAAACTCCTTGCATCAATCTTTGGATCTGACTAGGTTTCTGGTCAGCACAGACTAGGTCCTTAGTTAAGGGTCACCAAGAAGGAGGTAGAGGTGGTCCAACTTCCCAGCCACATATGGCTAGGTTCAAACAATACAATAAGGTTTTCTCCCAATTCCCACAATCAAATAAAATTTTCTCCCAAGCAGAAATGGGACTAGACCCAATATTGAATAGAAAAGGAACTGAGCTATCTCCAGAACTGAGTCATAAGATGGAGTCAGTGTAGTTCACTCAATTCCCACCACCATTTGCTGCTCCAATCCCCTTAATTATCTCACTCCTAAGAGCTTACTTTGTTTTGTAACTCTTTAATGTATTTTTCATGCAATAATGTATAGCATACTTATGTTGGCATGATTTTCCCTCTAACAGAACTGAATCTTCTTAAGAGTAGGAACTAGTATTTAATCTAAACTTTGTATTGCTCTCAGTACCAAGGACCGTGCTCTGTACTCAGAAGAGACTTAATAAACACCTATTTTATTTGTTATTTGATATACTTATAGCTAATCAATGTCCTCAGCTGTTGTTAAAGCTAACAATTGTGTGGTTTTTAAAAGTATATATAGGAATTATTTGTTTTTAAAGCATCTATATATGTAGCAAGAAGAAAATATAACTTTAAGAATCTCCTATATTTTCCTACACTCATATTACAGTGTACATTCCATAATTTTCCATTATTCTCCTAAGAATTTTTCCCTCCTATTATAGTTTATGTAGCTAGACCCCTCAAAAATAGCTCCCAAATGTCCTATATAAATGATGAATCTGGAGCCCAAATCTGTTACCTGAATTGTATGAAGAACCTAGGTTCAAATATTGCTTCTGATGCTTGCTACCTATGTGACTTTCAGCAAGTGATTTAACCTCCTCACTTTCCTCATGTGTAAAAATGAAGGGGTTGGACTGTCTGGTCTCTGAGTCCTTTCCAGTTCAGTGTATGTAGATGATGGTAAGATCTCCATTTTTCAGGCCATATGTTGGCTTACATCCTAGGTAGGTAGCAGCCTGCAAAGATTAGCATGAGTAGACTAAAACTTAAAAGAACAGAGGAGTTCATTCATCATGACATTTGCCCCAACAATACAGATGGTCACTCATCAATGCCTGTCCATTCTGTGGGATTCTTGTCTGCATTCTTCCACGAATTCACCACAGGTGGTCCACTCAAAATACCCAACATCTTCCTTGGTTTCTCCTGATATCATGGGAATACCAGAAGGGTACTCAGGCTGTCCATCACTCCTGGTCCATGCCATTCGAATAGCTCGTGCTCTTTTCCAATCTTTTACTTCTATTCAAGTTTCCTCACTGTTTATATGTTTCAGGGCAGGTAAATGGAGAAGTAGATAGAGTGCTGGGCCTGAAGTCAAGAAGACTCATCTTCTGGTCCCAGATACTTCCTAGCTATGTGACCCTGGGCAAGTCACTTAATACTGCTTGCCTCAGTTTTCTCATCTGTAAAATAAGCTGGAGAAGGAAATGGCAAACCACTACAGTATCTTTACCAAGAAAACCCCAAATGGGGTCATGAAGAATCAAACTCAACTGAAAAGCCAACCACAAAACAGATTTTATGTTTCAGCTTATTCATGTTACCATCATTCTCTGGTAAAAAATACTTGGAGTCCTTTGATTCACAGTAGTGCTACTTACAGAGACCAATACGATATTATTGTTATCATTTATGTAGCCGTTTAAGGTTTGCAAAGCACTTTACAAACATGATTTCATTTGCTGCTCAAATATAACCATAGGGCAGTTAGGTCAAATCCAGCCTCAGACACATGGCACTTACTAGCTGTGTGACCTTGGACAAGTCACTTAACCCCAACTGCCTCACAAAAAAAAAAAGATACCCTATAACCATATAAGCATTATTAGGCTTTTTTTTAAAACAGATCAGGAAACTGAAGTTTTCAGAGATGAAGGGATTTTTCTGTGGTTACCCAGCTCAAAGATGTTGAAAGCAGCATTTGAACACAGATCTTCCTGATGCCAAGCCCAGGGCCTTTTGCACCACACCACGCTGCCTCAGCAATAGGAAAATAAACTCCACACTGTAAAAAAGTGGAACTCAAAACAACTGGGAAGCTATAAAGGCCTACTGAGATGAACTTGGAGTCTCAAGACTTGAGTTCCAATCCTATTTCTCCTTTGTACTGTTTGAGATTGGGCCAGGAAGGAAGGAAGGATTTGAATAAAGGAAACAATCATTTATCAAGCACCTACTATGTGCCAGGCACTGTTTTAAGAATTTCACAAACATCTCATTTGATCCTCACAACAGCCTACCGGTTCTGATACAGGGGAGATCTCTATTTTACAGCTGAGGAAAGTGAGGCAAATGGACAGACTAGATGACCTCTAAGATCCCTCCCACCTCTTTAGCTGTGATCCTATGATCTTTCTGGTTGTTCATCTATATTGTTACTTAGTATTAAGATTAGTATTAAACCCTCACAACCAATTAGTAGGGAAAACTTTTTAACTCTATGTTGTTTGAGAAAGATAGGATATAGTTTGGAAAGCGGGTGGAAAAAGAGCACACAGAGGAATCGTGGTACAGGAAAAGGCTAATCTAGCCTCTTCATTGGGCAATCCCAAAACTGGCCAAAATGAAACTGATTCCCAGAAATCAATTTTTCAGGTTGTGCCAACTAAGTCTCTATTTCACAGGGAGAAAAAAGGACAGGAATTTGAAAGAAATGGAAGTAAAGGTACCAGACTTGGTTCTTTAAGGGACCAATGCCTAATGACAGGCAAGACATGCAAATTAACACGCTACTCTTGAGTAAAGGGAGGTAGCAGTTTTTAATAACAGGACTGCAAGGAAGCAACCCAGGGCTGAACGTGGTCCATCTTGGCATTCTTATAGGCAGCATGGCTGCATAGTGCTTTTCACTGCAGCAAAGATAACTGGGGCTATAAGGGATCTTAGAGGTCATTTAGTCCAACATTCTGTTGCAGTGGAAATAGGTCTTGAACCTGGATTTGAATCCTGTCTCTGCCACTTACCACCTGAGGGCCCTTGGGTAAGTCAAGAAGACCTATCTGGGCCTCGGTTTCCTCTTCTGTAAAATAAGGGTATAGGACTAGACAGGAGCTGAGTTCCCTTCCAGCTTTAAATACACATCCTATGATGTATGTATCTCTAGTCCTTACTTTAGTCACCTGAAAAATGAATGAACTGGACTAGATGACTGATTCCGAAAATCAATTTCAGCTCTAAATCTAGGAATACACGATATTATTCTATAGATGGGGAAACTGAGGCAACAAGGAGGAAAGTCAAACAAAGGGGACATGCATACTCTCCCTATGGTTGGACTGAGAAAGGAAAAAACCCTTACCGGGTCCCACCAACCCGAAATGCTCCTCGGAGGTGGGAGTGGTCGAGGGGGATCCCTGGTGGGGCTTCAGGGTGTCATCTCTTACTGAAGGGGTGTCGCCTAGCACGGCAGGGCAGTCACTGTTCACCGGGTGTGGGGTCGGGGGGGGAGGCGACAGTCAAGGTGAGGTGTTCGTGAGTGGGTGGGTACCTGTGGAGGCCTTGCCACGCCGAAAAGCCCCGGGCGAGCATGAGGAGGGCGGAGGAGCGCTGGTGGCCTGGGGGCCCGGGGATCGCGGAGGCTCGGGAAGCTTCCTCCAGCCGCTGCCGCTCGGGGGCAGGGGGACGTGGGCGGACGGACACTCTGCAACGCCGCGCAACGGTACCCGAGGCGGTGCCGCGGCTCCACCCGCGTGCGACAGCCCCACGCCGGCACCCACTTCCGCTCGCGGCCCCGAGCGCGCCCGCGCCGCGTGCCCTCGCCTGGAGGAGAGGCTCGGGAGCGCGGGCGGCGGCGGCGGCGGCGGCGGCGGCGGCGGCGGAGGCGCCGGCGGCAGCAGGGGCAGCAGCAGGAGGGAGGGGGCGGGCGCCCCGGGAGGGGGCGGGGGAGGCGAGCGAGCCGCGAAGTTTGTGCAGGCGGGGCTGGCTGGGGGGCGGGGGCGGTGTCGGGCCGGGTGGAGCAGCGGGAGACGTGCTCCTGTAGTCGCTACCCGAGGTCCTCCGGCAACCCGCGGTCCTGCAGCTGCATCCTCGCTGCTCATCCTTCTCGCAGGGTAAGGAGGCTTCTGCTAGAAGAGGTTCCCCTCCCAGGACCCCCCCCTCCACCTCGGAGGTCTTGCACGAGTGGGATCTGCTGCATATTCAGCCCCCACCCCAACCCTTCCAGGTCAGGGAGCAGGGGAAGATGCCAAGGGTTGCAGTCAGAGAAAGAAGGTGTCGTTGTTGTTGTTTTTTTCGGGGGGTGGGGGGGTGTCAGTGCAGTGCAGAAAGGTGAGGGTATAGAACCGAGCATCCTTCCTCTTTCTCCTCTATTTCCCCCTCCCTTCTCTACCCTTACCCCTCCTCCTCTCTTTTCTTTACCAGTCTCCTCCTCCCTTTTCTCTCGCCCCCAAAGAGGAGGAGGACGAGAGGTGTTAGGGAGAAGGGGTGCTGGGAATGTGAATGGCGCTATCAGCACCTGCAGCCCTACGGCCTGAACACTGGGTTCATCTTCCCCCACCCCCGACCCACTTTATTTTCTGAGAACGTCAAATAAATAAATGAAGAAGGTGGGGGAAAAAGCAGAGGAAGCCAGCAGCAGGTACCACACCCTGGCTTTGAATTAGGGAGACCAGAGAGCCAAATGAAAGAGTGTTGAGAAATTAGAAGACATAAATGTATAGACTGGCCCTGAGCCACCTTTTACTTGTTTTTCAATGTCTTGCAAAAAAGGTCTATGAATGAATGTTGTTAGGAGTTTTAAGCCCCACTGGACAACGTTATACATATGGTATACTATATTAAGGAATGTTTACAGCATGCATTGATAAATGTGTATAATTAATTATATGTGTAAAAGTTAAAAGATGTTCTATTTTACTATCATGTGTACATAGCATATATATTCATACATACATTATTTTAATTTTCATTACCGTCCCCCTACAAGTTCCTCAGACAGTAATTATTAGAACAGAAAAGAGAGTCCTCCTCCACCCCCCATGATGATGCATTTAAGTATTGTGCCATTTTTATTCGGTTTACTCTTTGAGACTGATGCTGAGAAAGTTAAATCACCTTAAAGTTGTAACTCATGAATAAATGGGGATGAGCAGTTTTGAAGTTAGGAGAGTGTTGTTTATCAGGAGTTAGAGTTGAGGTAACTGTGCTTTGATTCTCAGTAAGGACAAAGTGGTTAAATAGTCCCTGAGGCAGTGATTGATAAAAACACGTTAAAATTATTTATGCAGGTGTTTATTGAACCTGTCAGTCTCAGCTTAAAATCAGCTTGCTGGTTTAGAGAAAATTTCTACTTAGATGAAACTGTTGCCTAATCTAATACAATGTTACTGTATATAAAGGAAAAGATGTCATAAGAAATCTATAATAAGCCTTTGAGTTCACTTTACTTTTAAAAAAAAGAATTCCTGTTGATTTTTAAGGTATAATTTAATTTGTAGAGCTTTTGACCCATACCAATTGTTTGAACCAATTTTTTAAATTTTTTTATTGAACCAATTGTTAAACTGCCAATATTCATGGAAATTCTCCATGACTTCAAGTTTTAGGGCAGTTGCCATTCAGCATTGGTAGAGGGAGTTTCTTCACCAGGAGTTCTCTATATTAATTAAATCATAGGTCTGGACCAAAATAATTTAATTTGTAAGTTTCATATTTCATTCTTAGTAAACTATCTTAGTAAACTTAATATTTCTCTTTCTCTTAGGCAGGGGACCATTCTCTAAGCTTGCAAAATGTCATCCATCAAGCATCTTGTCTATGCAGTTATCCATTTCTTGCGGGAACAAAGCCAGATAGATACTTACACTTCAGATGAACAAGAAAGCTTGGAAGGTAATGTTAATGGTCAACTAGGTATCTATTTTTTATCTTAGTTTTTATGAAGGAGCTAGGAGACTCATTGGACAGAGTACCAGATCTGGAGTCAAGAACTGAGTTCAAATCCCTTCTCAGACGCTTATTAGCTACATGACCCTGGTCAAATCACTTAATCCCTCTCAGCATCAGTTTCCCCATCTGGAAACGTGGATAATAACGGTACCTACCTCACAGGGTTGTTGTGAGGATCTAATAACAATAACATACATAAAGCATTTTTTATTTTTTTTCTTTTTTAAAAAAAATTTTATTAATTTATTTTGATTTATCAACAATCACTTCCGTATGCTTTTGAGTTGAAAATTTTTCTCCCCCTTCCTCCCCCCCCACCCTCCCCAAGACAGCGCACAATCTGATATAGGCTTTACATTTACATACCCATGAAACATATTTTCACATTAGTGAAGTTGTAAGTAAAAATTAAAACCAATAGGAGGGACCATCAGAAAGATGAAACAAAACTTGACAGAAGGTAAAAATAAGTGATAGCAATTCGACTTCCATAGTTCTTTCTTTGAATGTGGACAGCATTTTCCATCCCAAGGCCTCTGGAGATGTCTTAGATCCTCGTAATGCTGAGAAGGGTTCAGTTTAACAATCTTAGTCATTGCATAACGTGGCTGTTATTGTGTACAAAGTCCTCTTGGTTCTGCTCACTTCACTCAGCATCAGACCATATAAGGCTTTCCAGGTTTTTCTGAAGACAGCCTGTTCATCATTTCTTATAGCACAATAGTATTCCATTACATTCATATACCACATAAAGCATTTTTTTGAATTGTGAAGCACTATATAAATTTAAGTTATTACTATGATCATAAACCTCCTCTAAAGTCTTAATTGCCTCACTGTGACATGGAGGTGACCCTGGGCTCTCAGAGGCTGGTCCAGAGGAATGCAAACTCTGTGAAATCTTACCAGACTAGAAAGGCTTCAAGTGTAGTCTGTGTGTCTGTCCTCAGGGATCAGCCTAGCTAAGTTCAGAGAGACTCCAAGTTGACTTCAGGGTGAAGGCTTTTTTTGAGGGGGGGGCACCAGGCAACTTTTGAAGGACATTGACTAAGTCAAAGGGGATTGTTCTGCATGTCAGTTAATAGAATACTAATGAAACCATAGATCATTGAAGTGTGGTTTTAAAAGAATCCACAAATGTGTTTTTAAGCACCTACTATGGTTGTAGGCACTGTTCTAGGTGCTAGGGAAGTGAAGACAAAGATAATTTTTTTCCTGCCCTCAGGGGACTTATAGATGAGAGACAACATATATGAGTGTAAATATATAGAAAATAAATGGAAGGTCACTAGCAGCTAGAAAGGTCAGGAAAAGCCTTGTGATGTGAGCTTTGAAGCAAACTAGAGGTTCTGTGAGTCATAAATGAGGAGGAAATATATTCCAGGCATGGGGGTGGGGATGGGTAGCCTATGCAAAGGTACAGAGACAGAAAATGGAGTATCGTGTGTGAGGTATATATAGCAAGAAGGCCTGTTGCACCAAACTGGATAGCGCGTAAAGAGAGTAATGTATAATAAGGCTGTAAAGGTGAACCGGACCCAGGTCATTAAAGGCTTTAAATGCGAAAGAGAAGAATTTGTATTTAATCCTTGAAATATTAGGGACCCTCTGGAATACACTGTGCCGCAGGATGACATGAGGAGAACTGAGCTTCAGGAATATCACTGCGGCACCTGTGTGTCGGATGGTTTAGGGGTAGGAGAGCTTTTGAGGCAACAAGACCAACCAGGAGACTATTATAATCCAGGCAAGAGTTGATGAAAGCCTGAACTATGGTGGTGGCCATGAGTAGAGAGAAAGGGATGGATACAAAAGATGTGGACGTAAAATCCACAAGATTTGGTAACTAACTGGATGTATGGCGTGAGGGAAGTGGAAGACGATTCTATGTTTACAGACTTGTGTAACCAGAAGGATAGTGGTGCCCTGAACAAAAATCAAGTTAGAAAGAGCAGCGCTTAAAGGAGTGGTCGATGAATTCTTTTTTGAATGGGTAGAATTTCAGATGCCTATGGAACACCCCATTTAAAATGTCCATTAGGCAGTTCATGATGTGGGATTTGTTTTCGTAGAGAGACTAGATTTACAGATCTGACCATCAATCGCACAAATATGATAAACTCATGGAAGTGATGAGATCATCAAGAGTATAGAATGAGAAGGGCAGCTGGGTGGTGCAGTGGATAGAGTACAGGGTCTGAAGTCAGGAAAACTCATCTTCATGAGTTCACATTCAGCCTCAGACACTTAATTAGCTGTGTGATGCTGGGCGAGTCACTTACCCTGCTTGCCTCAGTTCCTCATCCGTACAATAAGCTAGAGAAGGAAATGGCAAACCACTCTAACATCTTTGGCAAGAAAGCCCCAAAAGGGGCTACTAATAGTCCAATCTGACTAAAATGACTGAAAAACAACAACAAATATAAAGAGAGGAGGCCCAGGGAACAGCCTTGCTTGCTGTAGCACAGCTAGGAGAGAGGATGTGACTGCTGGTCTAGCAAAGGAGACTGAGAAGGAGCTGTCAGTTAAGAGGAAAACCTGCAGAAAAGAGGTACTCAGTGGTGTTGCTTGCCACAGAGAGATCAAGGAGGATAAAGATAGAAGGAGAAGATATCTGATTTGGCAGTTAATAGATCATTGGTTACTTTGGGGAGAGCTACTGCTTCTGTTTTAAGGCAAGATCAAAATATTTTGTTGACCTTTCAGGAAGAGATGTTGTGATGAAGGAAGACATTCTGGCTACTCTAATAGTTTCCCTGAGACTTCTTTTTATTAATAAGAAATAGCATCCTGTTTACAACTGATTATATTGACATAAAGATTTCTTGGAAAAGTAGGAGGATAAAGAAAATAACATCATTGAAGAGCCTAATCATTACAGCACTGGTGGAAGGCTCTGAGCAGATGATGTATATTAGGGAGCTGCTTATCTTAAAGAGAGAGGTTTTCCCCACCAAAATATCAAAGTTTTTTTGTTCTTTATAAGCCTTTTTATCATTTAGTTAGGTGATCTGATGTCACAGAGAATATCAGTGTCACATGCTTTCTTGACTTTATGTTCCTTCACAATAAAATGCAAGTTAAAAATAGTCTTAGCAGCAGTAGAATTCAGCAGATGGGTTTGTGGTGGTTCACTGAGCCTACCTTCCTTGTGGCTTGAAAGATTTAATTACTGCAGTGAGGCAGTGCTTTGGGTAAAATGTAATGAATGGTGGTCCAATTATCATTTCCTTTTTGAAGATATATTTCCTCCAAAGGGACAGCTCTCACATTGGCTTCTGAGACAGCCTCCCTTGTGGATATGCTTTTAGGAGGAAGGAATGAAAACTGGGCCTTTGTTTAAAATTTGCTTGCCTCTGGTGGTGGGGGAATTCCTTTCCAGGGCTGTCATGAATAGCAGTCGACATATGACCGGAGGGTTGAAGAATATTACCATCAGTACAGCTTTGTAGTGAAATTGCTGGTGATTCTTAATGTTCTGACCAGTGGAAGGTGAAGGTGATAGAGGGGAATATATGAGTTTGGGTTGCCATGCCACAAATGGATAAGTGAAATCACTCTAACAAAGAGATTTGTTTTCTAACAGAAAGAGAATGTGTGCTTTATGAGAGATAATAAGCTGCCAGAAATAAAATCGAGCCCTTCTTATCACCAAGACTTTGAGTCCTATTTTTAGTGTTGTAAGCAGCCAAAAATATGGTGTCTTAGGCTTTCTTATATGGCATTCAGAAATGTTGCCAGCCTATTTGTGTGACTGCCCCCCACTTTTTTTATCTCTTTGAGTCTAATTCAGTTGAACATGAAAATAATAGTGGAAGTTTAAGCCCTAAAATAAGCCAAACCTTATCACTAACTCACTGTGTGACCTGGAGTCTATCATTTAACCTTTTTGTGTATGTTTCTCTGTAGGAAAAGGGGAAATAGCATCTGCTCTTCTTGCCTCATAGAGTAGTTGTGAGAATCAACTGAGATAAAGTGTGTTAATGTATTCTGAAAAGTAGATACTTCTATATAAACCTTGTGGGTTTGGGGGTCGGACCTGGGACTGCATCTGTGTGGGGCACTCCTTGCATGGAAGGTCCTTCCATTGTCTAATGTGATTTCAGAGTGGGGAAAAGTTATTACTAACTGGGACTTCATGGAATAAGTGGCATTTGAGTTGGAGTTTAAAGCTTGGAGAGGAATTCAATAGGTTGAAGGGTAAGAACAGGTTATATTATGATTTATTCAACAACTTCTCCAGGAAGACATTGAATATTTCCCTATTTTAAAGATGAAGAACATGAGGCATAAATAAATTGACAAAAACCACATACTCTGTTATTTGACATAGAATAATGCCTCACATATATAGAACATGTAAGATTTTACAAAGTACTTTCTTAACAAGAGCTCTGTGGCAAAGATAGGCAAATATCATCTCCATTTTAAAGATGAAGAAACTGAGGCTTAATTGCCTTGTCCATAGTCATATGGAAGTCGAACCCAGATTTCCTGACCTCTAGTCCAGTGTTCTTATTAGTAGTATAATTCCTGAGTTGTAAGGATATATAGCTTGACCCACTAAACAGTGCCTGGCACATAATATTCAATGCTAGTTTTTATTATCGTTGTCATTACAGATTACCTTCTCATTGAAATAATTCACCTTTAATATATTTATTATTTCTGTTTCTCTAAGACATTTGGCACCTTTCCCATCTAAAAATAATTTCCTCTGTATCTTTGTTAGATTCAATAGGAAACTTCTAGCAACTCTGAATGTGTGCTAATATAAAATCTGAACATTTTAGAAACTAAGAGTTTGCTTATTTAAACAGAACTGGGGTTCTATTTTTAAAAACAAAACCAAACAAAATAGCACCCTACTTTTAGGTGTGTTCATATGGATATAGCATATTACAGATCTGTCCTCTGGTGTTACAGACAGCAACTCTAAGAAG